TTTTCTTCTCAGCAGAGGTCCGTGTAAGCCAACTATTGTGAAGGAAATGGAATGTATTATTGGCCTGATATTGAAATTTCGAGACCTTACCTTTCAGATGCTTTAGTCCCATGAGGGGACGACTGCTGAGAATCACCTTCTTGCCTATTGTACAAACATCTGTAAGGCACAGCCACAGCCTGCAGAAATCAGACAGCGGGGCTGTGGGTCACTGCAGCTGTGGGTCACCACAGCTGTGGGTCACCACTGTTGGTCCCTGGAGCGAGGGAAGTTTTTCAGAGTCCATTGTCTGTTGTTGTAGATTCCTTGTCTTGGGAGTCGTTTGTTCAGCCTGGGAGCGATCCCCAGTGACCTACTACTGTCCTCATGGTAAGGGTGTTTGCCACACCAGCTTTTGGGAGACCGACATCAGAGGCAGAGGAATACTGATCCTCCACTGATGTTCCCCCCAAATCTTAGCCCTGTGAGGGCGTGGGTGCCAGGGTAACTGCCTTGTGTCCCGGGCATGCATTTGTAGGCTTCTGGTGGCCAGGGTCTCTCAGACGCCCACCAGGAGCTGCCAAAATCAAAGGGAGTGGCCCTTGGGATCAGCAAAGCCTACCCCGCCCCGGCCTCTGGCATGCTTTTTGATTTTGTTAGAAGACATAGATCTCTGAGTCAGAATGTATCCGTGTCTCAGGAAATAATTTGAAATATATTATTCAGTAATTTGACTAATTTCAAAGAGAAAAGAAAAACAGGATTGACCAATGTTGCCTTAAAAACCTTGAATTGGGGTGCCTTCCTTTTTCTTTTTTCCCCCCTCCAAAAAGAACAAAAACAAGAAACAAGATTTGAATGAGCATTCATGAAAATATCTTGAATCATTAGCCAAGAAGACTCTCTGGTGCCCGCCCCCGAGCAGTTTTATTATTATTTTTTTTATTTATTATTATTATTATTTATTTTATTATTATTATCACCACCGTGACCAGGTCAGGGAGATGGTTATGTGGTGTGTCACCAAGGGCTGCTCTCAAATACTGACGGTGCACTTACCCCATGGCGGGAGGGGAGAAGAGATGAGGAAGACCAAAGCAAAACCGCATCAGAGGTGTTGGGGACTCGGGACCTTCGCATTGCATGGTTTGTTTGTTTGTTTTCTTTCTGGGATCTGCTTAGAATAATCTTTGTATTCAAGTTCATTTTCAGATCTTAACCCAAGCTGTTTTAGTTCTTCTGGATACCTGTCCTGATTTTAGCATTGAATAGAACAATGACCTAATTCATTTTTCTATCCCAATCTTTTTTTTTTGGTCTAACTTTTCTATTCTAATTGGTTTTTTTTTTAGTCTATTCCAATCTTTTTTTTACATCAGCAGGTAAGAAAATCATCAAGACTACCATTTATATCAACCAAGTGAGCCACTAAAGCTTATAAATGCCCTTTGTTTTAAAGATAACCCATATGTAGTTATGTAAACATTAAAAACTACAACAACAACAACCTTATCACCTTAACTGCCTCAGCCCCTTGGTGAGGTGGTATAGCCATGTTCCCAGATGACATTCTATGTGTGAAGTTCCTTCTAAATCAGAGAGAAATGGGATTCCTTGATTCAAATCGCTGGTATACAAAGTTAGACTCATCAGTAGATTCAAAGCAATCATTACATTACATCTCCATATGAGACCACCTGATAGGTTGGAAAATGGCGCCAAACGTTCCTGATGCTGTGGATCTGCAGTTCTCCACCAGGAGAGAAATGAAAACACACCCAGACCTAACCTCACCCCAGGCCAATTAAATCAGTCTTTTGGGTTAGGATCTCAGAATTTTTTTAAATTTTATTTATTTAAAGTCCGTTAATTAACATTAGTGTATTATTAGTTTCAGATGTGTAGAGTTCAGTGATTCATCAATCTTGTATAATGCACAGTGCTCATTACATCACGTGCCCTCCTTAATGCCCATCACCCAGTTACCCATCTCCCCACCCTCCTCCTCTCCAGCAACCTTTTTGTTTCCTAGAGTTAAGAGTCTCTTATGGTTTGTCTCCCTCTATGATTTCATCTTATTTTATCTTTCCCTCCCTTCCCCCATGACCCTCTGTTTTGTTTCTTAAATTCCACATACAAGTGAAATCATACAGTATTTGTCTTTCTCTGACTGACTTATTTCACTTAGCATATGCAAGCTGGTACAGCCACTCTGGAAAAGAGTATGGAGGTTCCTCAAAGTTAAAAACAGAGCTGCCCTATGACCCAGCAATTGCACTATTAGATATTTACCCAAAGGATACAAACATAGTGATTCAAAGGGGCACCTGCACCCCAATGTTTATAGCAGCACTATCAACAATAGCCAGAATATGGAAAGAGCCCAGATGTCCATTAACAGACAAATGGATAAAGAAGATGTGGTATATATATACACAAAGGAATATTACTCAGCCATCAAAAAGAATGTCATCTTGCCATTTGCAATGATGTAGGTGGAACTAGGGGATCTAAGAACTTTTTAAAAGCTGCACACATATGCAGCCAGAGTTGAGAACCATGGTCCTCAGTAGAGAACAGTTACTGGAGGCCAGGACTGTATTCTGGTTACCTAGGGAAATGGGCTGAGTTGAGATACAAAGCGTTGAGTCTGGGAAACAGAGGAGTGATTTGCTTAGTGGTTGGTAGCAGTTCCATCACAGCATTCTGAGGCCTGCATGATTATCACTCTCATTCTGAAGAGACCCTTGCAAAAGATGCCCCCCCACTTTCAATGAATTGGAAAGGAGTAAAACCGATGTGCTTTCCAGCTTCTACAGATAATCTCCAAAACATCAGTCGAGGAGGGGATTCGTGCATATATGATATATTAATATTATTTAATATTTAGATAGATTTTAATAATAAATAATACAGTTTATACATATGTATACAGACTGATTCATTTATTCATTGAGCTCCTGCCATGTCCCAGGTAAACACACTAAGGAAATTGTAAACCATAACAGCCATGTTTCCCTCCAGGGGGAACTGGAATGAAGTAATCACAAGGGAATCTAAAGCTAAGAAAGGGTAAGTGAGCTGCACTTGGGAACTTGCCCTGAGCCTGGAATATCTTTGGGGTGACTCATCTCGGGCACTGAAGAGAGAGATAGTTTTTCTTCTGTAGGCACATGCCTTCCATGATGCTGGAGTATCTGATTCATCCACTATAACCATTGTCATCAGAACCGTTTCTGGAACTTTCAGAGTAGGTGGCACAGGCCTGTGTATCTAGTGAAGGAAGCAGAAAGTGTCTGGGCTACCCCTTTGTTTGGAGGGTATGCTGGGAAGACTATCTGTTTACACAAAGATAGACTCGGGGTATTTTTTTTTCTTGTGAATAAGTGACAAGCTGTGAATGTTCCTTTCCACGAGCTAGAAAGGTAGTAATAGAGAAGATCCAATGTTTACTTGTCCCCTCTGTAACCTTAGATTGAAGTCATTGAAATCTTCAGCCCATACATCAAGAGAATGGCACACACATGCCAAGGGACATGGGCTGAAATGACAGGCACAGCTTTGTGAGAGGTGGCGTGCATGGTCCTATAAAGGGACGAGCCTCAGAGACATCAGGAGGTGGAGTCAGTTTTCACGGGAAAAGTGAGTGTGTAGTCAGAGCAGCGAGGAGGAATGACAGAAGCTTGTGTTGTGGACAGATGGGAAGGAGGTTTTGATGGCAAAGCAGGAGAAGAAAAATTACACAAGAACCAGCTGATAATTGGTCAAGATGAATGGAAGGTGATTGAAGGGGGCCCCCAGGTATGCCACCATTGCTCAGTGTCCAAACCTTAGCCAAGGAAGGACCATTCATAAATATCTTTAAACACACCTTGCCTTTGTTCTAATGCTCTGCTATTTATAAAATGCCTGAGTATGCGTTAACTCCATGGACCCTCAAAATAACCCTGAGAAGTGTATTGAAATCAGTATGTAGATAAAGAACGATGATGACACTGAAGCTCACGGTGGCTAACTTGTCCAAAATCACACAGCCAGTTAAAAGACAGAGGCAAATCTCAAATCCAAATATTTGAGCTTCAAATCCAGTAATCTGCAATGTCAAGATCCTATGGTACGATTGGGTCCTGGTCCCAGCATGTGCCTGAACATTTGTATGATTCCACACGTATCATGGGACTCTCATGCCTTTGAAGTTATACTCCTCTCATTTCCTTGCATTTCTGCTTGTCTTATAAAGATTTATACTGTGATGCTTACACCCTCAAATATGCATGAGCATAAGGTAGAGATTAGGGTTTTTACAAATCTGGATTCAAAGAAATTTTATATTCCAACTTCCTGTACCTGCTAGTGCCTATAGAAATGACGTTTTATAATGCCTGTCTCCCCTTTTTCTTCCCAGTCCATAAGAAAGAGCTTTTGAATACTCAGATCCCAAGAGCTGAGCCCAAGATGCTGATCATGTTCAGTGACAGGAAGTACAACTGCTTAAAAGTCTAATTTCTCTCTCACTTTTGGAAGTCAGGTGAAAAAAAAAAGGATTACTCTGACAGCACAGAATAAGAAAAACATAGAAACAAGAAAAGGCCATTTTTCCTATAGAGGCTCATTTCATTCTTTCTGCCATTTCCCTGGGATATCTGCCAGTTGTTAGCAGGAAGAGTAATGTTACCCACTTTTTAAAAATTTCACTCTTGAGTATTATGGAGATAAATAGCTAAATGATGGAGAAATAACTTTCTTTCACAGCAGTAGTTTAAGAGGGGTAGAAAGAGCTCAAATGCAAATACGTTTGATGACATGAGAAAATTCAACCATGAATGAAAAATTCAGTATTTCTGTAGGTGCTGTTTGAGAAAGAGTCCCCATTTGCATCAACACTAGAAAGGAGAGCCAAGTCATCTATAAGAGTGAGGGGACTGCCTATGGATATTAGTCAGTTTACTTGCAAGCCCCGGAAATTTTCCAGTTGCAAACTTATAAAAAAAAAAAAAGGCCTATGTTCCATTTTGCTGCAGGACCAATGCAAGAGACCATCTATGACTTCTGGAGGATGGTGTGGCACGAAAACACCGCAAGCATCATAATGGTCACCAACCTCGTGGAAGTGGGAAGGGTAAGTCGGCTCTCCACATACACCGCCACGTGTTCCTTGCTCAGCTGGTAACGTGAAGTAAGGCAAGAATAGGCTTTTGAAGTATCATGTGTACTCCAGAAATCATGAACTACTGCATTGCCTCCTATCGCTTGCTGCACTTGCTTATAAATTATCAGTAAACATAGACTGAATTGCTTTCATTTGTTGTGATAGCAACAGACAGGAAAGGCACTCAAGATTTAAAAGCAGTTGTTATCTGGCTATATTGAGCACACAAAAACACCTCTAAGCACGAACACTTGTTGTTGGGTGTCAAAACTCAATGGGTGCTGCATTAGACATGACTGCATTCTAACTCAGGAAAATTGACTCTAAAAACAGTGTACAGCACTGGGTGCAATCATTAGCAGGGCATTCCCGCATCTCCTCTTGCTTACTTTTTCCTTTCCTGGTCCTCTGTTTCTTAACCTGTAAAACAGAGATCATCATCTGTGCCCAAAGTCTTGTACTACTTTGTCTGGAGGAACTGGTAATGAGAGCTATTTTTGTTTAACCAGGAAATGCTTCCATAGTTATGACCTCGGTAGTGGTGGGATTATTTCCAAAGTGAAATTTAAAAATGAGAAAATACACAGGGTGCAGTTGCTTTGTTTTATAGTAGGGTCCATAGCTCTGTTCCACTCAAGAACCCTTTACTTCTTAGAGAAGGTTGACCTTCTGAGATTGACCCTCAGCAGCAAGGGAAGCCTGGAGATTAAGCCTAGAAGTGAAATGTGGGGGCAGACGCCATCCAGGGGTTGTTTCTTAAGATTCTCAGTCAGCCTTAAAAAATGAGGAAATCCTGCCATTTACAACAATGTGGATGAACCTGGAGGACATCATGTCAAGTGAAATAAGCCAGTCACAAAATACATGATTCTACTTACATGAATTATCCAAAATAGTCACATTCATAGAAGCAGAGGATACTGTGGTGGTTGCCAAGAGCTGGGAGGAGGGAGAAATGTGGAGTTGATGTTCAGTGGGTACAAAGTTTCAGTTACACTAGATGAGTAAATTCTGGAGATCTGCTGGGGAAAATAGTGCTTATATAGTTAACAGTATGGTTTTGTGCACCTACTTTGTTAGGAGGGTACATTTCATGTTGAGTGTTCTTACAAAAAATGAAACAACAAAGGGACACAGGAAACTTGGGGAGGCATTGGATATGTCTATTACCTTGATTATAGTGATGCCATCAGGATGTACGCATATGTCGAAACTCACCAAGTTATACCCATGAAGCATTGTATGTTGTAATTGTATATCAATTACACTTCAATAAAGCTCTTTCCAAAAAAGGATTTTCAGAAGTATCAGGAGATGCAACTCAAGAAGAGAGACATTAAGAAGTGGGAGATACTTAGAATGCTAGCAAAAATAGCAAACTAAATAATCTGAAAACCCTCGTCCTACGAACATCTAGAAATTCTAGATAAAATATAAATATGTGTTTTCATATGTTTGTATGTAATATACATATAAATCACCTGTAAATGTAAATATATATGTTAAAAATGTTTAGCTTAGCTCTCAAAAAAGGAAACTACTAGAAACCAGAAGAATGAGGACCAGACAGAGAGTGGACACAGCCACTATTCTCTGGAGGCTGGGTGCATGGGGAGGGTCAGTCTTGGAGGGAGTGGGGGGCGGGCCTCAACCTTCACAATCATGGATCTTGGGTTTTACAGCCCACTGAGAACAGGAGATAATGTCTTAGGCCTGTGCAGGACTAGGAATTTGAACTGAGGCTGCCACAAAAGGTAGACACTCAGAGAAAGGACTGTCCAGGGGAAGGTGGAGGGAGGCAGAAGGAGGAAAGCCAGCCAGGCACCAGAACCGGGAAGTAAAAAGGAGGTAGATCAGTCTTCACTGAGGATCTGCGTGAGAAAGCACTTCCACCAACGCATGGGTCAAAGTAAAATGCCCTGATATAAATCAGAACATAGTTCGAACCATGAATAAAGAAGTATCAGAGATTTTTCATAGATGGCTTTTATGATATTGAGGCATGTACCCTCGATCCCTATACTTTGAAGAGGTTTGATCAAGAAAGGATGCTGTACTTTGTCAAAAGCTTTTTCTGCATCTATTGAGAGGATCATATGATTCTTGTTCTTTCTTTTGTTAATGTATTGTATCACATTGATTGATTTGCGGATGTTGAACCAACCTTGCAGCCCAGGGATAAATCCCACTTGGTCATGGTGAATAATCCTTTTAATGTACTGTTGGATCCTATTGGCTAGTATTTTGGTGAGAATTTTTGCATCCATGTTCATCAGGGATATTGGTCTGTAATTCTCCTTTTTTGATGGGGTCTTTGTCTGGTTTTGGGATCAAGGTAATGCTGGCCTCATAAAATGAGTTTGGAAGGTTTCCTTCCATTTCTATTTTTTGGAACAGTTTCAGAAGAATAGGTATTAATTCTTCTTTAAATGTTTGGTAGAATTCCTTTGGGAAGCCATCTGGCCCTGGGCTTTTGTTTTTTGAGAGATTTTTGATGACTGCTTCAATTTCCTTAGTGGTTATAGGTCTGTTCAGGTTTTCTATTTCATCCTGGTTCAGTTTTGGTAGTTGATACATCTCTAGGAATGCATCCATCTCTTCCAGGTTATCTAATTTGCTGGCATAGAGTTGCTCATAATAGGTTCTTATAATTGTTTGTATTTCTTTGGTGTTGGTTGTGATCTCTCCTCTTTCATTCATGATTTTGTTGATTTGGGTCATTTCTCTTCTCTTTTTGATCAGTCTGGCCAGGGGTTTATCAATCTTATTAATTCTTTCAAAGAACCAGCTCCTAGTTTCGTTGATCTGTTCTACTGTTCTTTTAGTTTCTATTTCATTGATTTCTGCTCTGATCTTTATGATTTCTCTTCTCCTGCTGGGTTTAGGCTTTATTTGCTGTTCTTTCTCCAGCTCCTTTAGGTGTAGGGTTAGGTTGTGTACTTGAGACCTTTCTTGTTTCTTGAGAAAGGCTTGTATTGCTATATACTTTCCTCTTAGGACTGCCTTTGCTGCATCCCAAAGATTTTGAATAGTTGTGTTTTCATTTTCATTGGTTTCCATGTATTTTTTTAATTCTTCTTTAATTTCCTGTTGACCCATTCATTCTTCAGTAGGATGCTCTTTAGCCTCCATGTATTTGAGTTCTTTCCGACTTTCCTCTTTTGATTGAGTTCTAGTTTCAAAGCATTGTGGTCTGAAAATAGGCAGGGAATGATCCCAATCTTTTGGTACTGGTTGAGACCTGATTTATGACCTAGGATGTGATTGATTCTGGAGAATGTTCCATGGGCACTAGAGAAGAATGTGTATCATTCTCAATGGGGAAAAACTGAGAGCTTTCCCCCTAAGGTCAGGAACGCGGCAGGGATGTCCACTATCACCACTGCTATTCAACATAGTATTGGAAGTCCTAGCCACAGCAATCAGACAACAAAAAGAAATCAAAGGTATCCAAATCGGCAAAGAAGAAGTCAAACTCTCACTCTTTGCAGATGATATGATACTTTATGTGGAAAACCCAAAAGACTCCACCCCAAAACTGCTAGAACTCATACAGGAATTCAGTCAAGTGGCAGGATATAAAATCAATGCACAGAAATCAGTGGCTTTCCTATACACCAACAACAAGACAGAAGAAAGAGAAATTAAGGAGTCGATCCCATTTACAATTGCACCCAAAACCATAAGATACCTAGGAATAAATCTAACCAAAGAGACAAAGGATCTGTACTCAGAAAACTATAAAATACTCATGAAAGAAATTGAGGAAGACACAAAGAAATGGAAAAACGTTCCATGCTCATGGATTGGAAGAACAAATATTGTGAAGATGTCAATGCTACCTAGAGCAATCTACACATTCAATGCAATCCCCATCAAAATACCATCCACTTTTTTCAAAGAAATGGAACAAATAATCCTGAAATTTGTATGGAACCAGAAAAGACCCCGCATAGCCAGAGGAATGTTGAAAAAGAAAAGCAAAGCCGGCAGCATCACAATTCCGGACTTCCAGCTCTATTACAAAGCTGTCATCATCAAGACAGTATGGTACTGGCACAAAAACAGACACATAGATCAATGGAACAGAATAGAGAGCCCAGAAATGGACCCTCAACTCTATGGTCAACTCATCTTTGACAAAGCAGGAAAGAATGTCCAATGGAACAAAGACAGTCTCTTCAACAAATGGTGTTGGGAAAATTGGATAGCCACATGCAGAAGAATGAAACTGGACCATTTCCTTACACCACACACAAAAATAGACTCCAAATGGTTGAAAGACCTCAATGTGAGACAGGAGTCCATCAAAATCCTAAAGGAGAACACAGGCAGCAACCTCTTCGACCTCAGCCGAAGCAACTTCTTCCTAGAAACATCGCCAAAGGCAAGGGAAGCAAGGGCAAAAATGAACTATTGGGACTTCATCAAGATAAAAAGCTTTTGCAAAGCAAAGGAAACAGTCAACAAAACAAAAGACAACCGACAGAATGGGAGAAGATATTTGCAAATGACATATCAGATAAAGGGCTAGTATCCAAAATCTATAAAGAACTCATCAAACTCAACACCCAAAGAACAAAGAATCCAATCAAGAAATGGGCAGAAGACATGAACAGACATTTTTCCAAAGAAAACATCCAAATGGCCAACAGACACATGAAAAAGTGCTCAATATCGCTCAGCATCAGGGAAATCCAAATCAAAACCTCAGTGAGATAGCACCTCACACCAGTCAGAATGGCTAAAATTAACAAGTCAGGAAACAACAGATGTTGGCGGGGATGCAGAGAAAGGGGAACCCTCCTACACTGTTGGTGGGAATGCAAGGTGGTGCAGCCACTCTGGAAAACAGTATGGAGGTTCCTCAAAAAGTTGAAAATAGAGCTACCATATGATTCAGCAATTGCACTACTGGGTATTTACCCCAAAGATACAAAAGTAGGGATATGAAGGGGTACGTGCACCCC